TAAAATTCTACTTTTTGAGACCTTGACTCACTTAAACCTCAATATTCCTCAATTCAACTATTACATCGAGTTCAAATTCACAACACATATTAAGCACAACTATAACCATAAATCTACAAAATTTCACTTATAGATCTATTACAAAACTCTTGAAATCACCCAAAAGGTAAATCCTATTTTATTTCATAAAACCTAAGTCATCTGAAACAAACTTTGACTTTGCAAAGCTCTTACAAAGTTATAACAACTTTAAATCATCTAAAATTAATGCCCATAGAAACCCTATCCAATCTTCTATCAAACTCCATTCTTCGATCTACTAAAAAGTTCCGGAGTCATTGTTGAGACTCGGTTTTGTGCCTCAAGGTCTGATTTCGATCTTGGTTCATAACTGGCCCTCTCTGGGTATCAACATCTAGTTTTTTTTAAATAATTTTTATTAGAATTTACTCTTAACTTCTTCTTAAAGATGTCTATATCATTTTTCCTTATTTTTGGTCCTATAAAGTAAGTAGAAGCTATTTTTTTTTAAAAGGGCAACATTACTACTAAAAGTTTTACTATCTTCCTATCTTTTATCCATATTTTTCTACCTTTTCTTTTAACTTGGCTCTTCTATAATAAGATCTATATTATCATCTTTCAATATATAGTTGTGTTACAACACGACACCGCAAAACAAGGATCACCTTGTATCATTTATATCGCACCTATTTTTATTGGTGGAAAGACTCCAAGTGGCATTCCAAGCCAATATCAAGATTTTCAAGATGTATTTGAGAAGAAGAATGCGGATACTCTTCCGGAACATTGTTCCTATGACTGCTCAATTAACCTTCAAGAAGGAGCACAATCCCCATTTGGACCAATCTATAGTTTATCACAAAATGAGTTGACTGAACTCAAGGAGTATATTAAAGAAAATCTTGCCAAGAACTTCATACGCCATTTCAAATCTCTAGTAGGAGTTCCTATTTTATTTGTGAAGAAAAAAGATGGATCATTGTGGATGTGTGTCAATTATCAAGGACTCAACAAAATCACCATCAAGAATAGGTACCCACTACTTTTGATATATGAACTCTTTGATGAGTTGAATCAAGCCAAGATCTATAAAAAAATAGATCTCCAAGGAGCATACAATTTGGTATGCATCAAAGAAGGAGATGAATAGAAGACTGTGTTTCGAACAAGGTATGGACATTTTGAATACAACGTCATGCCTTTTGGACTTACAAATGCACCAGCAGCCTTCCAACATCTAATGAATGATGTCTTTTGGGAGTTTTTAGATGATTTTGTCATCTATTTCTTACACAATATCTTAATCTATTTTAAGAACAAAGAAGAACATGAACTTCATGTTCGTCATGTCTTACAAAAATTAAGAGATGCAGGACTCTATGCCAAGATAGAAAAGTATGTATTTCACACTACTCAAGTCGACTTCTTAGGATACATCATTTCAAATGATAGACTTATGATGGATCCTAAGAAAGTTCAAACTATTATGGATTGAAAGATCTGAAAGATGGTAAGAGATGTCCAATGCTTTTTGGGATTTGCCTACTACTATCAGATCTTCATGAAAGACTTCTCTCAAGTTGCGACTCAACTTACACGTTTGACTTGTAAAGAAAAACTTCAATAGAATCAAGAAGCAAAAGTAGCATTTCAAGCTTTGAATACAATCTTTGTTTTTGCACCAAACTTATATCGCGTCAATTTTTCTAAACCATTTTTTATGGAAACAGACACATCAGACTTTGCTTTGAATGCCGTATTATCACAAATGGAAACAAATGATAAACTTCATCCTATAGCTTTTTATTCCAAAAAAATTTCAGCAACCGAGATCAGCTACAAGATCTACCACAAAGAACTTCTTGCAATCATGGATTCGTTTCAAGAATAGCACCATTATCTAAAAGGTGTTCTAATTCTAGTTACCATATATATGGATCACAAGAACTTTGAATATTTTATGTCAACACATGTTTTGAATCGTCGCCAAGCCCGTTGGAGTATGTCTTTGTCAAGATTCAAATTCAAGATCATTTATCGGCTAGAAAAACAATAAGGTTTGTCAGGTGCATTCTCTAGACGATCTTACCTTGCATCAAAGGAAAGAGATGTTGCTTTCGATCAACAACGGATAATTCTCTTGAAGCCAAAGCATCTTCATCTTCGAGCAATGAAATCAATATTAACTGTTGATTCAATTTTCATTAAGCAAGTTCAATCAAGTATGTCTTCTGATCTTCTTATTCGTGATATTAAGGAAAATCCTTCAAAGTCTCATCATACTTCCAAGTTTGAATTCAACCTTAATCTATTGTATTTCAAGAAACGCCTATATATTCTAGAAAGTGAAGCTTAATTACGTGTTCTTCAAGTTTGTCATGACTTTTCAACAACAAGACTTTTTGGGTACAATAAAACTTTAAAACTAATATCTACGGATTTTTGGTGGTCCCAAATGTGGAAAGCACTCAAAGATTTTGTACAATCTTGTGATATTTGCTCAAGATCAAAAACTCCTCGTCATCGACATTATAGACTATTTTAGCCATTATGCATTCCAAAACAACCATGGTCTTCTATTTCTATGGATTTCATCACGAATCTTCCAATCTCAGGTTTTTATGACTCTATATTCATAATAGTAGATTGTTTTACCAAGATGGCACATTTTGTACCATGTACAAAATTCATCACAAGTGAAGAAATAACTAAGCTCTTTCTTGACAATATCTATCGCTATCATGGATTATCCAAGGATATTATATCAAATTAAGAAACCTACTTTGTATCAAGATTTTGGCGGACTCTTCTCAAGATTCTAAAAATGGATATAAAACTATCTTCGACATTCCATCCTCAAACTGATGGACAAACGGAGTGTGTTAATCAAGTTTTGGAGTAGTTTTGAAGATGTACCATCAACTACCAACACGATGATTGGACAACTTTTTTGCCATTGGCAAAATTTGATTACAATAACACGATACATTTTTCTACAAAATAAATATCTTTCTTTACCAATTATGGTTATGATCCATGAGTTGATACTTTTGACTTTTTAAAAGTTCATAATCCTACGCCAAAAGATTTGGCAATTCATTTGTTAGAGCTATATGCAACAATGAAGGCATAGTTAAAAGAAGCTCAAGAACAACAAAAGATCAATGCGGATGTCTATTGAAAGGAATAACCACCATTCCACATAGGTGACAAGGTATGGATACTTCATTGCAATATTAAGACCACTCATCCTTGTGACAAGTTGGGCTATTGAAGGTTTGGACCATTTTCTATTTCTACACAAATCAATCGAGTTGCATAGCGTTTATACTTATTGGAATCAATGAAAATCCATCTAATATTCTGAATGTCTCTTCTTGAACCATATAAGACAATGGACATACCAAGAAAAAGACAAGCTCTACCTCATCTTATAGAAGTGGACAATAATGAAGAGTTCGAAGTAGAAGAAGTCTTAGATTCAAGGTGGCGCCAAAATAAATTGAAATAACTTGTCCATTGGCATGGATATGATATTAATAAATGCACATGGGAGCCAGTAATGAATCTTGCAAATGCTAGAAAGTCGATGGAGGCTTTTTATTGACGACATCTATCAAAATCAAGATGAAAACCTTTCTTATAAAAGAAACAAGATCTAGGCAAGATAACATTCTACTTTTAATCCTTGTTTGTAGCTTCTTTGTAGTTATGATGCTGAAGAGATGGAGAGCCAACAACTAGTGGATTTGACTCAAAAGCCTTTATTTGCTGACTTGTCAAATGAGACATTACGATTGTCACAACCTTCAAGATGACGTAATTGAAATGAAGATCCTCAAGAACGACATATTCTTTCTCGAATAGATGGCAAGGTACAATGCGTTTGGTATTATGACCTTGGAAGGGACTCTCAATGTTTGGTGATTTTATTATAGGTAGGAACAACTCTTGACGGTGTTCCAAATGTTTTATTTGAAGGAAATTATGAAGGCCTCAACAATGATCAAATAACTGGGTGGTCTTCCTGCCCTAGTATGGGACACTACCGATGGTTGAGAGGCCCTATCAATCATCTTCGAAGAGAACAAAGATCAAAGTATGTGGCGAATACAATTCGTCGCATCATAGATTTCTTCAACATATGATGATCGCTCCTCGTGGAACTCGTTCCTAGAAAGGGGGGTAATGCCAGAGACATATGCATGTAAGCTAGTAATTACAGGTATAAATAGGTAGAAGTAAATAAAAGTGAGTAAAAATAAGTTAATTCTATAATATCTTCCATAGAAGCTTCCTAGAAGCTTTATAGACGCTGCTTTGACTTTATAAGTGCTTTTAATTGACTTTTTGGATTAAAAACGTGGTCAACAAGTTGGCCATATGCCACACATGTTATTAGCTTGAAGACCAAGCTAACTATGTGGTCCACACATAAAAAAAACTTGCCTTGTAAGACAAGGCATGTGTCCTACAAAGTCAACACATATTGGAGGTCCTATAGAACATCGCCACGTAGCCCCTAGTTAGATAGTATATATAGAGACAAGAATGAAGCCCTCTTCACTCTTGTCAACTCCTTTCTTGCTTCTAGTCTAGTTTCAAGGGTTTCTAGTTTTATTGTCTTTTGGCAATAGCCATTCCAATTTCTTTCTTAATATATATATATATTTAGTTATTTCTATTTTGTCATCTTTCTTTGAGAAAAGTCTCACTTATTTATTTGTTTTTATCAAGTTCTTGTCCTTGACATTACCATGACTTTGTCATCTTGTGTAAAATCAAAGTAAACATCCGCCTCAAAAAAGACAAAGGTACTATTTCAAACAACCAACCAATAAAAGAACATTAGAGTTTAGGGTGGTGGTTGTATAAATGTGGGTGGGGAGGGAAAACAAAAAGGAAGGAAAGGAAAGGGTGGGTGAAGTGGCAGTAATTTAGGGGGAAAAAGGGGCTTAGCAGAGAACGGACCCTGATTCCAACAACGAAGACTAACTAGAGAGAGAAGCAGAGTTTGGCTTGGCTTTCGTGCTTGCTTGCTGGGTTTGCTTACAAGCCCTGGTTTCTGAGCCAAGGAAGAGATTGCCTATCTGCCTTCTTCTTCGCCGCTGCCTTCCATTAATGAATGCTCTGCTGCGGAATTCTTGCCCTCCCTTCTCTTTCTCCCTCGCACAGATTGATTGCAACCTCTGAGTTTTCCCTCCTTGTCTTCTCTTCTTCTTCTGTGTCTTTCAAGCGAATTTTCTCGCAATGCTTGCCTTCTTGGTGCAGAGTGTCGTGGTAATGTGCTGTGCCGGCGATTCCGTTAGACGTGGTTGGCGTGAGTGGTTGCATTACGGCGGGTAGAAACCGAAGCATGTGATGGACTCGACCTTCGCCTTTTTCCCATGAGGCGTGACTTTTGGAGAGATGGAGGTGCGTAGTTTGTGGATCATTTTTTTTGATGTCGAAGGAGGTCGTGCGGGTGGTTTGTTATTCTAGGGTTTCGAACTCGTACTGGAAGTCTCTGTACGTGGTGCAGTTGTTTTCCTCATCGCCTCAACCTTTGGTTCTATTGGTGGATTTGTCTTTGTATTTGTATTTTTTTGTTTTTGTTTTGTAGGTGCTGGGGTTTTTGAACTATCCCCTCGATGCCGTGTTTAATTTGGTAGGAGAGGTCGCTACTTGGTTTGCGAGGCTCTAGGGTTTGCAGAGAGCTGAGGATTTGGAGCGTAATGTCTCACTTCTCTTGCATTTACTGGATGCATTTCGCGCGGTTTGGAGGTCATCTTGCCTTCTCCAGGTCGTTTGTTATGTTTGAGTAACGTGCTCCTATTTTGAGCTTCGGGTTTTTCTTTTTTTCTTTTTTTTCTTTTGGTTGATGCCAAAGCAAAGGAAATCAGTTATTGTGTGCCACTGACTCCTCTAATGCAGAAGCTAGGTCGGTCATTGACGCTACTTAGTTGGTTGAAGCTAGTTCGTTTTGATTACTTCCATTGTGAATACGCAAGTGCGCATCGAATTTGTGGCATTCTGCGAGTTTGAAAAGCAATCATATAATGATTTGTTGTTTGGTTAGGAGTCTTAGGATTCTGCACGAGGTCAGTAATGCTCAAATCAAACTAGCCTAACTTTCTGTGCTTCCTGATAGACGATTATCTGACCACACTCTTCAAGTTTTTAAAAATCTACTGTGTAACCACTTTACAAAGAGTTAGTTTGGGCGATTGTTGTTACTCGCTGTTTAACAGTTTCCTTCATCAACGTTCTGTTGCGGATAGAATTTGGAAGAGTAGGAATGCATGGACAGTGAATTATTTCGGCATACTCAGTCTAACGAACTGCTTGCTTGTCTACAGATATAAAAGATGCTGAAACTTATTTCTTCACAATTTTTGCGCGGAGCATCCCTTAGCTGAGTGATTTTATGCATCAGAGCTGTATGGTTCGGAAATTGAAAAGTACCTTGTCCTGTCTGCGTGCTCGGGATACATTCGGATCGCACTGTGGCTCGCTTTTGGAGGCTAATTTTGTTTTCCGGCGTTCGAAACTCGGAACTCGGAACTCGAAAAATATTCAGCCATGTATTGACGGATATGTTCACGTAACTGCGTAGGGTGCTCCTATTGCTGAAGGCAAGGGCGGGGATGTTTGTGACACACTTTTGTCAGAATGTGTGCAGCATGCACACGGTTCCTTACATGAGATACATTACGACTCAATCACTTCAACAAACACTATGAAAGAGGCTAAGGTGGAGCTGTCCGTTGACCTTCCTGTGGACCCACGTATCGTATCCAGTTCTGTATCGGAGGGTCTAAGTAACAATCGGGTGGCAGGTTCTCTTCACGCTAGGAATTCTAGTGCTGGATTGACCTCTCTGAAGAGAACCCACCAGGGTTTAGAGGAGGCTCTAGTTGTCAAGCGCGTTAAACTAGAGAGTGGTGCAAGATCCTCCCAGAAGTCATTAAGTGATGACGTTAGGAATCTTGCTGGACCTCTTAGAGATATTGCAGACCGTCTCAAACAGCATTCTATTCTTGGTGGGAACGGCGATCAGTACAATGATGATCAGAATATGGACGTGGGAACTGGAGATGGTGGGCATGTTGTCGTTGATAAGAAGGCCAACTCATCTGTAGAACCTATGGAAGTGAACCCTAATCAACAGTTAACGTCTGTCATAGATGCACACATTGAACGCACAAATCAAAGTTCACTTTTAAAGGATCGGGAAATGGACAATGGTTCATGCCAAAATATGGTGGCAGATGGTTTAAATGAGGGTAGCAAACAAGCTTCAGCTTTAGCGAACATTTCTGAATCTATCGGTACTCAGACTCGTACAGATCTTTCTGATCTTTTGAACGATTTATCAGCCGACGATTCCGAGGATTTCGATGAAGGTGAGAATGAAGCTGGTTCTGAATTGTGGAGGGAATCTTTTGGTGATGCATTAATATTGAATACTATTAAAAATGAAAATGAAGTGAAAAATACTTCGGCCGATGTTGAAGCTGATGTGCAAGGAGCTCATAAAGCAAGTAGAAAGGTAGAGCCTCCTCCAGATGTCGTGATGCTGGACTCCGACAGTGACGATGATGATGACTTGCACATAATTGACGAACCAGATAAGAGCATCCAGTGGAGAAGTGCTGTGAAGTCTGAGCCCGGAAGCTCATGTCAGTTGGAGAGGGGCTCTCAGTTGGGAAGCGCCGTGAAGTTTGAGCCTGGAAACTCAAGTCAATTGGAGAGGAGTTCTCAGTTGGGAAGCACCGTGAAGTTTGAGCCTGGAAACTCAAGTCCATTGGAGAGGAGCCCTCAGTTGGGAAGCCCCGTGAAGTTTGAGACTGGTAACTCAAGTCCATTGGAGAGGAGCTCTCAGTTGGGAAGCACCGTGAAATTAGAAGTTAGAAGCACAAGACAGGTGCCGGATCGCGATGCAGGGGATAATGTAGGCGAACGCCCTGTTTTATCTTCAATAACTACATCTGGAGGCTTTCAGCATACTTTACCCAGTGCGCCTCAAACCTTAGACGATGTTTCTGTTCGAGACATTAAGTCATCGGTTGTACCTCCGCCTACTGGAACTCCATCCCCTGGCTATGAACACAACCTGGGCGTTCCATCGGATCAGAGTGTTCCTCCTGCACGGCGACCAATATCGGATAGTTTGCACTGCGATGGCTTTCAAACTCTTGGTACACAAGCGATTCTTCATGCTAAACAAGCGGGGACCATGCTTCAAAATACAGTACAGGGTGGGAAGCCAACGTTGGGCATAGCTCTACAGTTTCCACCAACCAATAATACACCGGACTTAGCAACTGCTGGTAATGACGTGTATTTTGGCTTGCCCAGCTAAAGATTCTACTAAATATCCTCATTAACATCATGCCTGCGACATGTCTTCAGAATTTTTTGGAACAGCTTGTGAGCATTGGCCTTAACAACGGTATATTTTTTAGTCAGATTTTTTCATTATTGGAAATGCGGATTCGGAATTAGAACTAATTTAGAATGGATCCACTTAAGATAATCCATGGAATCTTTCAAAGGACCACATTAAGGACAATCTAGCACCACAATGTTGGCAGATGAATTCATTTTATCCATTTAACATAACGTTGGTTAGCTTCTGTTTTAAGTTTAACCCTGTTTTCGTTTCTCTAATTTACTACGTTTGTCGTTGTCTTCTTGCAGGGAATATTCAGCCATCAGGCATGGTAAGGGACAGCCAAGTTCAAGCTGATCAAGCTGTTCCACGTGTTTCAAGTACGTTTGAACAAGCTTGTGAGTTGATCATTTCTAGCATAAATTTTATGATTTAAGTCTTAGAAAATTTCATGTTTGATTTGATTTCAAGATCTACTTTTTCACATCTTGATGGCTTTTTTCGTGTTTGAACTTGGGAAGAGTATTGGCAAAGCGATTACTTGTCTCAGATTTAGTCCATCCAGAGAATATGGTTGGTATCTCTTGTCTAGCATAGGACATTTTACGTTTTAAAATTTTTTCCTCTCCATATCCCAATCGTCTTTTTGTAATGTAACTTGTGTGCTCTTGAGTCATTTAGAGTGTGGTTTCTGCTCCATTATGTGGTAAATTTCTGCCAACAAAGTGAATCTGTACGTGTCAAATATCGTTGGTGCTCTTCTGTCCTCAAGTCAACCTGATGTTGAGATCATTTGTTCCATGTTGTTAGGTCATGTACGGGATGGCGCGTCTTCTGGAGAGCAAGTCAGGTCGAGCCACGGTGGGGGCCCTCCAACCAGTACTGCAGTTGTGCCTTATTGTAGCGGTAAGCTTTTTTCTGCTTCGGATTTATAGTGTCTTCTCTGATTTGCAGTCAACACTTCGTTATTCATTGCTTCTCTCTGTCCCTTCTGTTGTCATTACAAGATGTGGATCTTGTATGTTGTGCGATTACTTTTTCAAAGTTTGTTTTTCGAGAAGGTGTTTTATTACCTGTGATTCGTAAAGAGTTTAGTTGGGTTTTTTAAGGTTTGCAAGCTTTACTTGGGTAAGTCATTTCATGTTCTGTTTCAATTTGCAAGTTATACATTTCACAGAGTCTAGGGTTCATTACACAGGTATTGAGTGTAGTGCGTCTTTTATCTGTCGAATCTGTGCGTCTCCAAGAGAATAAACATCTGGAATCTTAAAAACTGTAACACGTTGCTGATTTTGTTACAGGTTCTGCGAATAGGATAAGTTTAGGGCCATTTAGCATGCACACGGCACAGATGACTTCAGGTAAATCAATGAGGTCTTGTGAATATACACTCTCGAGATAGTAAGTGTTTGTAAACATTTGTTACCAACTTCTCTTGTAATTCCGAGTTCATCAGAGTCACGATCTTCATGCTGCTAACATTAGCCAAATCGCTCAGTCGCAACTTGAAAGCATTAGAAGAGAATCGCTATTGGACACTTAGTTTGCCTTGAACATTTACTAACTGCACTTGCTTTCCGTTCTTTCAGGGGATGGTTGCACAAATATTTTACAGAATATCAATGGCATAAATGAAAAACATAACTCACGGCAAAGTCAAGCATGCCCCCCGAATAGTGCAGATTTATCAATAGGTTTGCACTACCATATGAGAACGTTGCTGTATATTCCGACATAGTACATCAATGAAATGTAGCTCTAAATATTGTTCTTCATTTTTATCTCTTCGTAGTACCATCTTTTACATGTGAGACTTAGTTGGTTAATTTGTATGTCACACAGGTGCTAACAAAGTTGAACCCAATTTGTATCATAGCGGCAGCCTTGGACCCCAGAATTACCCAGTCCACAATCAACTTGCTTTGGTGAAACAAAACTACGGTGCGGCCATTTCCTTGAAGCTTTCCTGAGGCTTGAAGTTGATGTTCACAATTTTATCATTATTATTTTTCTTGATTGGCCCACTATTCAAAGTGGTACCTATTTGATTTCTGAAGACATCTTCTCTAATAACCACTAGTTCATTATCATACAGATACTACTGTCAGCACCCCCAGATTTGAGGTTGCGCGTGCATTACAGCAGTACCATAATTATATCATCAAAGCTAAACAGGATCGAGCAGAGCAGTTATCTCGGAGGGAATCGACTACAAATGAATCTGTAAAAGAGGGATACTCAAGGGGACTGGAATGTCGACCAGATATCGTGGCTTACAATGAATTAAAGAAGAATAAGGAAGATGTGAACCCAGGCGTGCTTGTGGGCGACCTTCCAGGTGTCGAAGTAGGCGACAAATTTACATATCGACATCAGATGGCTGTCGTAGGGTTGCATCGCTTGCCAAATGTGGGAATCGACTACGGTTATACTTTTCCTGATAATACCATTACTGCCACGGCCATAGTACTAATGCCCAAGGCAGGTTATGTTGATGATGTAGACAATGGCGACACAATTCTCTATACAGGTAAACATCCAACTCCCATATATCAAGATACGTCATGAGAGAAGTTCCATGCTTTTGCTACTGAAGATCGTCACATTTCGGTTTTTATTTTTGTTGGATTTTTGAGTATTTATCATGGCCATGTGTTAGCTAAAGAGGTTTTCCTTTGAACCTTCAATATTTGCAGAAATTTCTGACATTAATTGGAGTTCAACATGTAGGACAAGGAGGTCGTCTGAAACGCAATCAAGGTGCTCCTTTTGTTTGTGATCAAAAGTTGACCAAAGGCAACCTGGCATTAGCTACAAATCATGACCGAAAGTTGCCTGTCCGAGTTATTCGAGGGCATTCTGACTTAACCAACAAAAGCACTTCCCTCCTGGGTTATACATACGATGGCTTATATGTGATCACTCAGTATGAGTATAGTACTGGTATGAATGGCTTCAAAGTCTACAAGTTTACAATGCAGAGACTGGATGGCCAACCACCTATACCACCATGCCTTCCAGGGTGCACTGCGCATTCATGGAACGATGCGAAAGGTGCACTATCAGCGCAACCTCTCCAGGTAGTGGCCCCTGTTCCCATGGATGAAGTGGATGTGAAGCAAATATGTGCTCCAGGGGAGCACGTCCATGCATCCAGTAGTCAGAATGCTCCTCAAACATGAAGGCGCCTTCTGCTTGAAGTGGTGACTCCTCGGAAGTCGAGGAAAAAAATTTCACCAGTGATATTTCATTTTTCGGATTGCGGGTTAGCACTCAGGCACCACGTAGCGTTCCTACCAGGGTAGCTGACCAGACCGATTTTTAATAAGCTGATGACCCAATGTAAGTAATGGGTAGTTGACAATCAGGCAGCCACTGTACATTAGAGTCATTGATGTCACAGACAGTCACTGATGTCAGAGCCACTGCTGTCAATACAAGTGGGTTTTGTCACATACTGGCCCATATGCGTAAGTGAAGTGGCAGTGTCATCCCCGGTCTATGCAATGGAGGTTTCGTACAACTCCCTTAGATCTTTCACTTTTTTTCAAAACTCCTGTTTGGGGTTGAGTGGTCTTTTCAATCGGTGAAGATTGGTAGGCATTATTTAAGGTTGACAATTCTTTTGGTCCCCATCACTGGTGTTGGTTTGAAAAACTAGGCGAAAACAGGAATTGAATCTGGATTCTGTTTTTTCAACTTACCGTGTTATTTTTTTTTATTTCTCTAAAGTATTTAAATGATGGTCGCCCTTCTCAAAACTAGAATGACACCAAAAGATCTACAAACAGTACAAATGTGACTCATCAAATTACAATTCAAGAGGACTTAAGTACTCATTTTGTATGGGATTGTCTAGATTGGTGAGGTTCTTATCCTTCATAGAAACTTCTACTTTGAGTGTTGACCAAAGGGACGATTTAGTTGAATGAGCTGATTTCATTTTTGCGAATAAATGATATTTGGCAATTGTTAATTCCAATATAATCAAATGTATGATGTAAGTAATATTATAGAGAGCACTCTCTATAATATTACACGAGTAGTAGTAAGTAATACACATACATACACAAGAGAGTTTCTAAGGAGAGAGAGAGCTTCATACAAAAGTCTATTGATTTGGTTGTAACTCGTATACAAAAGGAGAAGGGAAGAGGATAAATAATTCATCTCTACTACATTCCAAATATTGTAACTATAGTATTTATTGAAGACTACAGTAAATATCATAGAGAGCGCCAACTACATTTAATGCTTTCAACACTCTTCTTCGCTCATCATAATATTTACATAATATAAAATTTGTATAGAATTATGATCTATACTTTTCTGTAATCTTGCAAACTCAACAATTCTTGCCTCATTAAAACCTTATCTAGAAAAACCTTATATTATTTAAGGGCAAAACCATAGATGAAGGAAAAAGAGTACAACATCATTTTTCCTAATTATTTAAAGAATTCATTAACTTTCTTATTCAAGAAAAGTAAGTCGTCGCATATGAATGCCATAAGTAAGTCAGCGATGGTTGCACAATAGGAGAGCTTTGGTGAAGAAATCAGCAAGGTTATTTGCATATTCAATTTTCTTAATTATAAGTGCTTGATCAGTAATCAAGTCATGGGTATAAGTAAAATACTTTAAATCAATATGCTTTGTCCTGTTGACTTTAATGAAACCAACTTGCATCTGTGCAATATAAGCACTATTGTTTTCATGCAAGATAGTTGGAGAATCATTGTATGAAAATCCACAAGTTGTTTGAATGAATTTATCAATTGATCGCAACCAAATATATTCTTGAGATGCTTCATGTAAGGCAATAACTTTTGCATGGTTGGATGAAGTTGGAGTTATAGTTTGTTTCACTGATTTCCATGATATTGTAGCTCCATGTTTTAAAAATACATATCTTGTTTGAGATTTAGCTATTTGAATATGAGATTTATATCCCGTTGTCGTGTTGTAACACGAGTATACAGTGAAAATAAAAGAAAAAAAAGAAGAAGGGAAATTTTATTAATATTCAGTTACCTCGAATATTGGGAGCATCGACCAACTCCAGCGCAAATACTGAGTGGTCAGGTTCAGTCACCCCGTTACAGTCAGCCGGGGCATACTGAAATGCTCCATTCGATTCTAATAACGGGAGTTAGCAGGATGAGAAGGACCAATTCACACGACGGGTTTGAAGAGCCAATTCGATCCAATTTCGAGAATCCAATCCGGGTCCTCTTACCCAATATGAGACCTGTATTGGTGGGGCAACCCAATGCAGTCTAGTTATGGGAAAATCCAGGTCTTACTACGGGCCTCAGCCAGTCTGACGCGAAGACCAATTTGACCCAATTACGCGAGCATCCAGGTTACTATGGGCATCTTATCCAATATGGGACCTGAATTGGTCGGGCGACTCAATGTGGTCCCGATTACGGGGTTTCGATTCTGTTTCGGGCTGTCCTGTTCTCTGTGCCGTTTCAGGGAACGTTGTTTACGGTAAATGGATCTCTTAAAGGTAAAAACGGAGGAGAAGGCCTTGATGACGTGAGCCAATTTCGGATCTAAGCTGTGACGGCGGGAGCCAATTCCGGATCTAAGATGGAAGATTGAAGAAATTCAGAGGATAAGGTTAGGGGAGAATATAGTTTTAGGGAGGGAGGTTTTTTTTTTTTTTTTTTTTTTTTTTTGGAGAATCGGGGGGGGGGAGCGAGTTTTCAAGCTTTGCAAGGTTACCAGTTCGGTTTTCATTGGAGGTTTTTGAAGATCAAGGGAATTAGAGAGATGAGCTTCATGCTTCGGGTCGGGGAAGGAAAGACATAGAATTTGGATTTTTCTTCTTCGTAGAGTTTTGGGAAGACTGAGGCAATCGCTGCTGAAGTCAGTGTTGTAATGGTGAATCGGGATTTTTAAATGAAGTGGGTTTGAATACTCTTGACTGTTTTGTAAAATCGAGTTACGTCTGTGATTGAAGGATTAAAGGGGTGTCTATAGGATTGAGTATGCGGAGTGAATGAAATTTATTGAGTTAATCTAATAGTACAGTCAGTGGATACAAGATCGTAAGTACAAAGGGGTATTGATGATTAACAGTTTGGGTTGTTCGGGGTTCTCTGTAACGTCTAGAGACCTATTGGCTGGGAAAAAAAAAAAAAAAAAAAAAAAAAAAAAAGACTTCGACAAGCAGTCGAAGAGCATCCGTATAGATTTACGGTACATTGTTGCAGTCGTTTATATTCCAGCAGTCAAAAACTGATAGACTGCTTGACTATCGGCGAATCTCCATACTACCTTCTACAGCCAGATGCCCGGCACGTTCTCGAGCAGGAAAGCACGTAATACGATACCGCATCACAATATTCAACCAATTTTGGATTTGTAAATTGTGTGTAGTATAATCCCAAGTCTTCAGTACCTTTTAAATAACGTAATAAATATTTGATGTCATTCCAATGTTGTAGTGTTGGACATGCACTATGTCTTGTAAGAACACTAACTACATATGCAATATTTGGTCTTGTAGATGTAGCCAAATATAAAAGTGCTCCAACTGTTGTGAGGTATGGATATTGATCTCTCAATATTTCCTCCTCTTCCTTGCATGGATGGTATGGATCATTACCATCACGACCATGTCCAACCATTGGTGTTGAAAATGGATAATCATCAATCATATTGGATCTCCGCAAGATTTGTCTAATATATATAAGTTGGTAGAGAAAAATGCTACCATTTGTGAGATGCATAATTTGAAGTCCAATGCATAAAGTTGTTTTTCCTAGCATTTTCATCTCAAATTCACAGATAAGTAGGTTAGTAGCTGCAATGTATGTAGATTTAGTACCCACTAGATTAAGATCATCAACATATAGAAGGATGATCACAAAACCAATTTTATCTTGTTTGATAAATAAACAAGGGATCAAACGATCACTTACAAACTTATGTGTAATTAAATAATCTCGAAGACATTGATGCCACATGCGTCTGGATTGTTTTAAACCATATAAGGCCTTACATAATTTAATACCACAATATCGTCCTAGATGATGTCTATTTGGAATTCTTGTTTTCAAGCCAAGTGGAACTTTTATATAAATATTTGTATCAAGAGAATCAAATAGATATGCAATTATTACATCCATTAGATGTATTTCAAGGGTGGCATGAAGTGTCATTCCAATAATATATCAAAATGTGATTGAATCCATGACTAGAGAATATGTGGATTCATAATCAATGCCAAATCATTAAATAAATCCTTGGCAACAAGATGAGCGTTATTGTGGGTTATTTGACCTTGAGCATCTTACTTGTGTATTAATACCATCTTATATCCCATAAGGCAAGATGTAAGAATGTCTATGATTGCACCAAAGACTTTCTTCTTATGGAAAGAGGCATACTCTTTTTCAATAGCACTTTTCTATTTTGACAAATCAAAGCAATGCATCGCATCCTCAATGGTTCGAGATTCACGATTGTCTTCCTTGCAAGAAAAGGCTTCTATAATCATACATGCAAATATTTTATCTATCATAATAGATGGTTTCTTCCAAATATCGTCTGTAGTACAATATGGAATAGATAATTCTTTACTCAACTTGATCTTATTCCTTCCAATTCCAAGATTGTTTTTCACAGGAATTGAAGGTACATTATGCATGGATATATCATCATGAATTGGTGGTCCCACAGTATGAGTGGAAATTTCTTGAAAAATAATATCAGGATTAGTTAATATTATAGCTTTCTTCTTATGTGGTTGCTTATCTGATCTACAAGTTTTTTTAATTATTGTTGTTATAACTTGAGGTATTATAGTCAGTGGCATTGCAATCTGAGCAAGTGCATTCTGGGCCTCATTAAAATGAACTCTTATAATTCTACGTACATCATTGAAGTCATCAGGTGTTTCATCTGTAATCCATTTTAGATGCAAAATCTTAGCAACTTCAATTTCAATCAAAGATGTCCTACGATCAAGATTCATTGTAAACATTTTCAATGCTTCAAATAGAAATACTTTATTTCTTTGTTGATTGGATACTCCTCCTTGAAGAGATAGAAATATATTCTCTTCAAAATGGCAATTTTACAAACGTGCACGTAATAATGTGCTAGTTGATGGATCAACAATACAAATAATGCTTGATGAATCAAAACCAACATATATGCCTTCTTGTGGATGAGTTTCAATAGTACGCCATTGACGTTCTGGTATTGGAACCCAAGCACATCAACCAAATACTAGCAAGTGAGATACATTTGAAACATGATCCAAAATGAGCTCATGTGGTGAAATAATTTTAAGAAAAGAAGGGCGGATGCATATTAATGTTGCAGCATGTAACACTACATTATCCCACATAGATACAAGTAAATTTGTGTGAAAGATGAGTGGCCGAATAATGAGTTGTATATGCTTTATAAATGACTCTACAAGTCCATTTTGAGCATATTCATATGGAACACAATATGTCAACTCAATTCATGTTGCAATACAATAGTCTTCAAAAGATTTTGATGCAAATTCTTTTGCATTATCCATATGCAATGTTTTTATAGGATAATCAAGAATATGTGCCAAAAATAAATAAGTATAGATATAAGATTTGTAAACACTATGTTTTGGGTTGATAATAATGAAACATGTGATTCTTTACCTGATGCATCAACAAGGACTAAAAAATAACAAAATA